TTTGGATACTCAACCATTTGGTGGCACTTTATGTACTGTTGTTAGAGTATAAACCGATGTGGCGTGAAATAGTATGCGATCCCGTGACCCGGGTCAGGCAATTGATTGAGCATGGTCGACTCATATTTGATGGTGAATTTAAGGACCGAGTGGTTCAACACATAAGGAGCTACCGATACATGCGGTTCATTAATAGACAGATGGATCATCTGAACTCAATGTTTTAAATAGATTTGTATTTGTATCTAATCTAGCTATTTTGATGATCAAGTAAAATTTAGTATTCTGTATGTGTTTTATTGAATGCCGTTTGTAATACTTTGTAAAACTTTATTGAATAAAGTGCTGTAATAGTGATAATTTAAAATAAATGTTTAAATGTGATATTATTGTACTACGGTTTGAAATTGAGCTTAATAAATGTATGATTGATTAATAAAAATTATTAGTTTTTGCTATGAAATTAAATTTAATATTAAATAATTTAAAAAAAAAATCATCATTTAAAAATGTTTATCACAAAATATATAATGGAAAATAAAAGTACAAAAGTCTAATTCAAACTTGATTATATTTTTCTGAATTATGAATCCAGATGAATCCAGAAATTATTGAAAGTTAAGCAAAAAGACTTTATAAAAATTGTATACATAATGAGTTTTGTTGAAATACGGTACTTAAGGACTTTTAAGGGCTAATTTTATACACATTTTTATAGAGCGCTGTTTCTACCCAGGTACTTTTTAAGTCATTTTATACACACACTCTTATATTTATAGTTTTCTAAACACTCTTCGAGTACTCATATTTAATACACACTCTTATTAGCCCTTGTACAACTGTTTTAACACTCTAATATCAGTATTATTATTCAACTTAAAACTAGACTTAAAACTATTCAAATATGTTTAATAAATAGTAATATATCCCACAATATTTAATATGAAATACACTTTTACAGTTTTAAATAAAAGTATTCTTTTAATTTGTGGAGTATATAATTTTAATTATAAAACAAAAACAAAGTTTTAAATAATTAATGACTTTTATTTAATTAAATATACAAATAATATTTCAATGATACCTCTTAAGTGTATATAAACATGAAATTAATAGTATTAAAATATAGGCAAAATTGACCAGGTAACCAACAAACACCTTGGCGTATATACTGCTGAGTCCACGAAACATCATTGCGCGCATGGATTCAGTGGGTATAGTTAGTGGCAAAAATCGGCATAAACTTTGAGCCAGGTCACTTAGTGACTCCAATGGCCATATTAGTCCTGATATCATCCACAGTGGCAGTGTAGTCAATACCATCACCATCTGAACAGGTTAAGTTTAATAAATGTTCAATTAATTATAAATTATATTCATTTTTGGTTGAGATAGAGAGAGTGAGTGATGGGGAGAGAGAGAGAGAGAGACTAACCATAACGTTGTAATCGTTATGAACAGTGAGTGACGTAATCATGCCGAAGATCATGCCGTGTATGCCCTGCAGTATTAGCATCAATAGGACATCCCATAGACTACCGGTGATCGTGAAGTTAAACACATAGAAAGAGAGTACGAGTGACAGAACTGCCTGCACTACCAAAACCGCTGTAAACCACAGCACCTGTACTAATATGATTTCAATAGGTTTGACACCCGTTACAAAGCACCTTTCCAGACAACCACCCTTTTGCTCGTAAATGAATATAAAACCAGTCAATACCATATTCAGACCGTACTGTATGGCTAGCAGCATTCCCGGTGCGATAAAATCCTAGTTTGTTAGTAGAGGAGTATAAAAACATAATTTAAAAGTTTGTATTATGTTTTAATTGTATAATACCTTAAATGAAGGGTCGAATGAGTAGTAAATTGCATTGAAATCAAAGGGTAGAGTATATGCCATAGGGTTATAGTCGAGGGCCAGACTGTAATTCTTAATGAATGAGTTGAGAGTCTTGAGAAGTGCCAAGTTTGCCACACCGGTGGTGATAGGCCGGGACATGTCGACTACAAGCTTCACCTGACTGTCCAGAATAGCCTGTTCTGACACATCCTGTGGCGATTGGAACCGTTCATCGACTCCAAGAGAAAAGTTTGTAGAAAACTCTAATGACATGATACTATTGCCGCTAATCACAGACTCCATGGCCTCTTGGCTACTGTTATAGAGTTTGACATCAATTATGTGTTTATCGATGTGTTGCATGAATAGGTCGGTTAGCTCTGGGGGCTGTTCACCGTTATATATGGCGATCGGGAGGTCATTGAAATTCTGGTGAAATATGAGTGAAATAATTACAGAATATTCTCTAAATTCTGTTTAGAAATATAGTAAAGAATACCTGATTGAACACGAGTGACATTAATGTTATGATAAGCGCCGTTAGTATATAAAAGCAGATAAACATTAGTGGGCTTCGGGTTAATTTTAAATAGTTTCGCCATAAGAGGGCCGACATTCTGTCCAAACTCAGGAACCGGTCGTTTGCGACACTTTTATTGAACTTTTTGTTCTCTGTCTCGACTTCTTGGGCGTCCCTCTCCTCGTTGAACAGCAATGGGTTGAGTGACATCCGACGGGAACGGCGTCTAATGATTGCCAGTTTATAGTAGACCTCCTCCAGTGTCTTCACCCGGTACTGATCCATAAGCTGTTGCGGTGATCCCTCTCCTCGTTGAACAGCAATGGGTTGAGTGACATCCGACGGGAATGGCGTCTAATGATTGCCAGTTTATAGTAGACCTCCTCCAGTGTCTTCACCCGGTGCTGATCCATAAGCTGTTGCGGTGAGGACTGGGCTAATAGGTAGCCGTTGCTCACAAAGCCTACAAACGACGAGCTCTTGGCCTCTTCGATGTAATGTGTGGTCACTATTATGGTTACCCCTGAAGATAGTTTAATGATAATTCAGTTAACACTTCATTGTTCAATCAATTTATCTTAAAGATACCATCATTTTTGGATATATTCTCTAAATAAGCCCAAATCCTTTGCCTTATAAGGGAGTCGACGCCAACTGTGGGCTCATCCAGTATAAGAAGTCTTGGGTTGTGGATCATAGTGACCGCCATCGACACCAGTCTCTGTTGACCGCCACTGAGTTTAGACAAAACCCGTGTCCGGTCGGGAATACTCAACAAATCGGTCAATACATTGATGCGATTATTGATGGCATCGACACTCATGTGGCTTAAGAGACCATAGTATGTGAGGGTTTCGGCGATTGTGAACTCGTAATAGAGGGCCACCTCTTGAGGCATATACCCCACCCCAGGGCCGGGTACGTCCGAGTACTTTGTGCCGGGCTTTTCACCGAATATACTCACGTGACCGGAATGGGGTTTAAGGCGGCCTAAGATTAGCCGCAATAATGTGGTCTTTCCGCTCCCATTAGAGCCTAAAAGTCCGAATATTTTGCCTGAAAATAATTAATCAATCTTAATAATGAATCTGTCTGAAAATAATTAACTAGGTAACTGAGAAAGTTTATTATAAAATGACTCACCCTCTTCAATTTTGAGATTCATTCGCTCCAAAACTATAGCATTCTTAGTGTAACTGAAGTTAACATTCCGGACGTGGACTGCGATCCGGGGCTCAGTTTGTAGGCCACATAAACCCAATTCAATGTGAGTGC